CACAAAAATCCTTTATGTATTTGTCAAAGAATATTAAACATGATTAAAAAAAAAGGCTGCATGTCAAGTTAGTGAAGAATCAGAAGACAATCAAGTATTGTTTCCCTACATCCCAGTGAAGATGAATCTTAGCGAGGTTCAGCTTAAATCAGTGAGGATGAAGATGGAAACTTACTTCAAAGTTCTTCTACTTTACAGCATTTTCTCCTCCAGCTGCTCCACGAAGCCACAAGCTGTTTCGCCTCTGGCTCACATCTCTGTCCAGCAGAGAGAAAAGTTCAGAGAGCTAAAGTCAAACCACGACCAGTCTGATACTAGGACCTGATAAACTTTCCCCGTTTTTAGTTCACGGTTGTAAAAACATTAATTACTTTCTTTACTCACAAACAGGGAGAATGCAGATGTTGAAGCTGGCCAAAGAAAACATTAAACGAGTACTCTGCTGACTAGTGGTGGACAGTAGCTATAAGTAGTATAGTATAGTAAGTATATTAACTCAAGTACTGTACTTAAGTACAAACCTGAGGTATCTGTACTTTACTTGAGTATTTTCTTACCATGCCATTTTCTACTTCTGCTCCACTACATCTCAAAAAGGGAAATATTCTACTTTTAACTTCCCGTAATTTTCAGCTTCAGTTACTTTACAAAGGAAGTGTTCTGCACACAAAACTTTAAAGCATATAAATTAAACTACACAACAGAGCAGCTAGTACATCAGCTGACTGACAGAAATTTAATTGGCAACTATTTTGATAACCGTTTAAGCAAAGTACAAAAATTTGAGCTTCACAGATTTTCTGCTTTTCCTTTTGATTATCTCAGTGTGATTTGAATCATTTTTAGATTTAAACAGACAAAACAGGGATTGAGAAGACATCACTTTGGGTTCGGCCAACTGTGACAATATTTCTCACTATTTTCAGAATTTTTACAATCGTACAAGAAAAAACAACAAAATAATCAGCAGATTAATCGTGAAATAATCATTAAAGTCTGATAAATAATATACAACAGTACAATCCGGCTTTTACATGAATGCATGAGAATAATATAATAATAATAATACTCGGTATATAATAGTACAACCTTTTTCTTTCTGCTTTGAGTAGTTTTAATACTTTAAGTTTCTGATTATACTTCCATACCTTCACTTAACATCTTTAATGCAGTTGTAACAGAGTTTGTTTTTGTACAGTGAAGTTTTATTACTAGTTTTATGAACTGAATTCTTCTTCCAGCAGCTGCACAGCTAGCTTAGCTTAGCTTAATGCTAACGCTTTCATTGTGGTTTAAAATGCAGACATCAACAATATCTGACCTAGCTTAGAACATTAGCATAACAACACCAACAGCCACCCGATGTCCGGGGCCTTTAAACCGCATGAATCAGCCACATTTAGCTCCCGGTAAATCCTCTAACTTACTCTAACTTTAATAAAGTAGCTGTTAATACGTTTCGGTACCAAACGGGGACGTTATGACAACAAATGTTCAGCAGCTAACAGCTAACGTTAGCGTTAGCTCAGCTAGCTGTCAAATCTTTCAGCTACGAATCTTTCATCTTAAATATTCCGCCCCTGACAGATTAACTCATACAAGACCCGCAATTAACCATTATTTCCCCCGGAATGACATTAAACGTGAATAAACACGTTTAACCAGCAACATCTTCGTGTGTTAGCATTTTAACGCTAAACCCTGAATGCAGCTCCGGGTGGTTGTTGTTGTTGTTGTGTTGTTGTTTCTAACCTCCATGACTCACCTTTTGCAAACACACCTCCAACTACTTTCCGCTCGGATGTTTATCTTCTTAATGAATCTGAGACATTGGCAGTCTGACCCACTGAGCAGGGAACGACCCCGGAAGTAGAGCTGAGGGACGCGGCGGGGCGCGCGCACCGGTTATTCTCAGGGCTGCGGCCGAATTCCTAAACACCTTTGACACCTGGACTCCTTTCACTTCAAGGAAAGGTGTGAAGAAGAATCCACTGGGACTGATCAGTCTTCACTACTTTACTGCATCTCAGAAAATTAGACTATCGCAGATAAAGTTAATTTCTCCCTGCAATTTAAAACTGTTATTTTAATATATAAAAGTGAAATATTTCAGGCCTCTTTTGTTTGTTTTAATCTACATGATCATGGAAATCAAAAATCCATGTGTCACACAATATTAGAATATCTCTAATTCATCCTCAGCACTGCTCCACTGTTTATTTACCATTGTTATAACTTTCAGATGTATAATGTCTGCTGCCTAGCAGAATAATAATAATGCATTTATTTGTAATTCACTTTATATTTAAACAAATCCCAGAGGGCTGCAGGATAAAAAATAAAAACACATGGAGAGCACGGGAGGGAGTTTCAAACTCAATCTCACTCTATAACCTGTGGCTTCTCCTCGGTCAATGAGGTTTCTGGACAACTGTCAAGTCAGAAGTCTTCTCTATCGCTGTGTTTACTGAACGATTTTCTCAGGTTGACATTTCTGTATTATTCATTCTTTATTTTTATTATTATAAATGACAGTGTTTGCATGTTTCCCCGTGGCTGCGTGGTCCAACACATGCGGCCTAGGTTAGTTTGTGACTCTAAATTGTTTAGGTGTGAGCGTGACTGGTTGTTCGTCTCTGTGTGGCCCTGCGATGGACTGGCGGCCTGTCCAGGGTGGACCCCGCCTTTCGCCCGATGTCAGCTGGGATTGGCTCCAGCCCCCCCGTGACCCTGTACACAGGATAGGCGGTTGACGATGGATGGATGGATGATCGTGCTTTAAGGCTAGCCAGTAATGGTGTTAGATTAGACCTGCTGTTATGACTATTGTGTGTCCTGCTCAAAGGCCCAGGAACCCAGAATGTGACCGCGGTGTCTTTGGAATATTGGAAATGATTTGTTAGGCCAAATGTTTCAGTGGAAATTGAAATGTTGTAGCTCATTTTAAAGCCAACGCTCAGGAAA